TGTTGATTCTTGTTGTTAACTCTTGTGCTATGGGTGTCCTATTGAGGAATTTGGAGCCCGACCCCACAATATGTAGATCGGAGCCAACTTTTTCTTCTATCAGACGCAGAGTCTCTGATTTGATATCTAGCTCCTTGATCCACTTTGAGTTAACTTTTGTGCATGGCGAGAGGGGATTCAGTTTCATTTTGTTGCATATGGATTTCCAGTTTTCCCAACACCATTTGTTGGAGATGGTATCCTTCCTCCATTGAGTTCTATAGTTTCTTTATTCAACTTTTGTTTGGAGGATCTGTCCAATGGTGAGAGAGGTGTGTTGAAGTCACCCATAATTATTGTGTTGTGGTCTATTTGATTCTTGAACTTGAGGAGAGTTTGTTTTATGAACGTCGCAGCACCATTATTTGGTGTATAAATATTGATAATTGTTATGTCTTGTTGGTGAATGGTTCCTTTTAACAGTATATAATGTCCTTCCTTATCCCTTTTGATTAACTTAGTCTTGAAGTCGATTTTATTCGATATGAGGATGGCCACCCCTGCTTGCTTACGAGGACCGTGTGCGTGGTATATTTTTTCCCAACCTTTCACCTTCAGCCTGTGTATGTCTTTTCCAATCAGATGTGTCTCCTGGAGGCAGCATATTGTTGGATTTGTTTTTTTAATCCATGTTACCAGCCTATGTCGCTTTATTGGAGAGTTTAAGCCATTAATGTTTAGAGTTACTATTGATATATGGTTTGTACTTCCAGCCATGTTTGATTATTTATCTTCTTCTTTTTTTTTTTTTTTTAATTTAGTTTGTTTCTCCATGATTAGCTTTCCCCCCGCCCTCTGTCTTTATAGAGGCACTTCCCACTGATGGTTTTGGTTATTGTTTTTCATTTCTTCCTCGTGTAGTGTTTTGCTCAAGATGCTTTGCAATGCTGGTTTTCTGCCTGCAAATTCTTTTAGCTTTTGTTTATCGTGAAAGATTTTTATTTCGTTGTCGTACCTGAAGCTTAATTTTGCTGGATACAGAATTCTTGGTTGGCATCCATTGTCTTTCAGTGTTTGAAATACGTTGTTCCAGGATCTTCTCGCTTTCAGCGTCTGTGATGAAAAATCCATTGTTAACCTTGTTGGTTTACCCCTGAATGTAATCTGCCTCCTTTCTCTTGTAGCTTTTAGTATTTTCTCTTTGTTCTGTATGTTGGATATCTTCATAACAATGTGTCTTGGCGTTGGTCTACTGTGATTTTGTGTGCTCGGTGTCCTGTATGCATCTACAATTTGTATATCCGTTTCCTTTTTTATTTCTGGAAAGTTTACTGTAATTATTTCATTCAGCAGTTACTCATTCCCTTGGATTGAATCTCTGTACCTTCCTCTATCCCGATGACTCGTAAGTTTGGTTTTTTTATGTTATCCCATATCTCTTGGATGTTTTTCTCGTGATTTTTTACCAGCCTTTCTGAGTTGGCTAGACTCTTTTCAAGATGATATATTTTGTCTTCATTATCTGACGTTCTGGCTTCTACTTGCTCCACTGTGTTAGTGATACTCTCATTTGAGTTTTTAATTTGGTTTATCGTTTCCTTCATTTCTAGAATTATTGTTTGATTTTTTTAATAATCTCTATCTCCTGATAAAGATGCTTAACTTCTTCTTTTATCTGTTTATGTAATTCATTTTCAATGTATTCTTTCACTGTTTGGATTTGCTGTCTCGTATCCTCTTTAAGGTTCCATTCCATCTGTCTAAGGTATTTCTTGAGTTCTTTATATGACCATTTTTCTGATGCCTCTAGGTCCTCCTGAATATTTAGGCTGTCCTTCATTGTTTGTACTCCTTTTCTTCCTTGGTTTTTTATGCTGCTCATGTTACTTTTTGTTCTGTTTGACTGCTGAGTTACTGTTTACTCTTATAAATTTATTTGATGCTTGGGAGGAAAGATATTAGAAGGGAAGGGAAGAAATCACTAAAGAGAATGAGAGTAGGCAGGTAGAATTCAAGGAAGGGGGAATAAGAAAATTGAAAAGAAGTGAAAAGACAAAAGAAAAAAATAGAAAATAAAGAATGAAAGAAAAAAATTTTTTTAAAAAAATAATAATGATAATAAAAAAATGAAAATGAAAATTTAAAAAATAATAAGAATAATAAAATAAAAGAATTAAAAAAAATTAAAAACATTGAAAAAAGTTAAAGAACAACAACAACAACAAAAATGAAAATGAAAGAAAAAGAAAAAAAAATAATAATAAATGCCGTCATAGAGTTCGATTAACTTCTCTTCCAGTAGGTGGAGCTGTGCCCACTGGGCCAAGCTTCTCCTCTCAATAGGTGGGAACCATTCACTGTGCAGCAGCTCTTTCTCCCAGACTGGGCGGGTCTCCAATCCTGAGTGCCTAGAGCCTTCTCTTGTGTTTCCTCAAGCCTGGCCCCGCTCACCTGTGACGCTCACCACAATACTGGCTACACGCCAGGTCTGCTGCTCCTGGGAGCCCTGTTTTCATGAATGCCTGGGCACACTCTCTCTGTTTGCCTCCCTCAGACCCTAAGTTTGTAGAGCTTGGGGCTGAGAACCCCCAGTGAATTTTCTTGCCCTCCGGTAGCCACGCCCCCAGTAGCTGGTGCAAGAGACCTCAGTTGTCAGCACTGGTGGGAGCGGTAGCCGGGAGTTCCGCTCCGCGAGTCCCGCGCCACTCCTGATTCCCTTGGTCTGGCTATTGCGCTCACAGGAGAGCTGGGAGGGGCCCTTAAGGTTTCCCCGCTGTGTGGAGAGAGATGGCTAGGGGATTACACACCTGTCGCGCTGGTTTCAATGAAGTTATCTCCTCCACCCGTGACGTCAGTTCTCTGCCATGGTGGTATCCTGTGCAAATGGTGACCGTTCGTTCCCTTTGCCGGGTGACCAATGCAACAGGTGGGTCCTGACTGTCTTTCCCAAGCCCTGTTTCAATCCTGTGGCCACTGCCTAGGATCGTTAGTGCTGAGTCACGAGAAGCAGGCGAACTTGAATGCAGCCGATCTGGGCTCAGTGTGTGTGTTCTGAGGGGCCCAGACTGTTTGCCCCAGATCCATGTCAGCTCAGCATTGCCTAGTGATCCTGAGCAAACAGCATTTAGACAATTTACGAGTCCCTATGCCCACGCAGCTGAAGAAGTCAGAGACTTGATCTCTCCTCGCCCGCCGCCATGTTGAAAAACCTGGAATTCACATTTTTAGATTACAAAATAATAAACCTATAACCATTATGTTCTCATTAGTTGAATAAAGCTAGTATATTTTTAATAGAGTCTTACAGTTCCCTGAGTTATGTCTATTGTGGCTCATCCTGCATATTCTTTTAATTTTGACCTCTGGATTTGTATATACATTGGTTGTTAAACCTTCGTAGATGAAATGTTTAATTATCTTCCCAATTCTAAAATTTTAGACTGCATTTTTATATTAAGTATTATTTTATATTAAGTATTCAGAATATAATCACCTCTTCACATATTGAAGGGATGAATGTTTTTATAACATAAATACAACCTAAAATACAGTACTTATATTAGAAAGCTAATGATCATTTTAATTAATTTAAACAGAAAGGATATTAAGTGACTTAGGAAATTATTGACAAGGTTACTTTGCAAAGCAGTCTGTCAAAGGAGCAGCTGCCTCTTCTGTGATCAGGAAGCTCTCAACTTGGGAAGCTATCACTGACACCTTATCCTGAATTGCACTGAATTGGAAGCCATAGCACTCAGGAGGGTTCTATTTTTGCTGAGAACCACATTGAGGTTGCTATAATCTGTGTCAACAAAGTAAATGCCTCTTGATACTTACAAAGCTAATAGTTGTTTGCTGGGTTCCTTGTTAATGTTCATTAAAAAATATGTTATCTACAAAACTAGTAGAGGAGTAGCCTTTACCTCACATTTTGCTTTTGCATACCATGCAAATATGTTTGCATACCATGCAAACATCTGATGAGCAGAACTTAAGTCATATCCAGAACCCTGACCGAAAGAGTTTCAGAAATCGTGTTTGTGACTTCCCAGATTGTACAGTAGAAGTTGACTGAGGTTAGGATGACCCTTGAATTATTATCTGCTATATTTACCTCAACTATATTAGACAGGAATAGTTCTGTTCATATATTACCATATACATTTGAACTAGTATTTAAATGTGTAGGATGAAAGAAAGAGGCAGTACAAGGGTGATGTGAATGGAAGAGTACTTTGTAGGGAGTGTAGAGTCCTCTCTCTGAAAGGATAAATTTCTCAGTGTTTCTTGAACTTGATGGCTATGAAGGGTCTCCCATAGGAATTCTCTCATCACTTAGGGAAAAATATCTCAAAAATCATCAACTGTTTAGCATGTTTTCCTTGGTATATCTCAGTGAAGCAAATAAATCATAAAGGAGTGAATAAACTTTGTAGTGTATAATGAAGAAACACACAGTAAAAGCAGCCATGCATGGAAGCCATGAATTGTTACAGGACTATCATGTCACATTGTCTTTTAACATCCATGGTTCTAGACTTGAGCTGTAGATCGTGATCATCTTTTTAAAGTATAATGTATGTTATTCAAAGGTCTAAAGAGCAGAGATTGACAATTCCAAACATGTATTTAAACCTATGCATTGGGAAGTGCATCTGAGTTATATGTGAAAATTTCTGTGATTATTTAAAATATAAAAGGAACACATACTATGTATGAGTTGGGTACAGAACAAGCAGGATGGATATAAAAATTTTATAGGGGGCTGGGGTGGTAGCTCAGTGGTAGAGTGCTTGCCTAGCACATGTGAGGCCCTAGGTTTGATCCTCAATACTACATAAAGATAAATAAAATAAAGATATTGTGCCCATCACAACTAAAAAAAATTTTTTTAATTTTATAGGTTGTTAAAGTTGGATTTTTTGGTTAAATCCAAAGAATCAATGGATGGGTTTGTTTTTTAATTTATTCCATTTAGTTGGATAAGCATTTTTAGATATTAATTTTATTCCTGATTTCAGAGTTCTCAGCGTATTGCAAATAAATATCGTAGTCACAGTTTTTTTGGCACTGGTAAGGATCAAACAGAGAATTGGTGGAAGGCCTTATCCCGTCACCTCATAACTGAAGGATTCTTGGTAGAAGTTCCTGGGCATAACAAATTTGCAAAGATTTGCACCCTTACAAAAAAGGTAAACAGTATAGAAGTCTACCTGTTTGACTTAATTTTTCTCAACTATGCATTAAGATTCTTTTTTTATTTCAATAGGGTAGAAATTGGCTTGATAGATCCAATGCAGAATCTCCTCAGAGTCTTATGCTTCAAGCTGATGAAGAGTTGTGTCCAAGGAAGTTTCTTCGGCCAAGGTTCATTTTTCAGTTTTTTTTTTTTTTCTGTTAACTTATGGGTTTTTGGTGGTGTTGCTGTTTCAGTGATTTTAGGTACCACTCAAGTAAAATGAATTGCCTGCCTGTTTTTGCATATCTACTTTAGTCAATTTGGAAGAAAGGGAGTCCCTGGGAAAAGATAAATCACAGAACTTTCTTGGTTGATGGGAAGTAGTTGACCATTAGAAAACTTCTTTTCCATTGATTAAGTAGCATTGACATGAATGCTGAAGAATTCATATACTGCATTTTCTTCTCATGTGTAGAAGATGGGAAGGGAATACACTTATTGCCTACTTTTTAATACCTTTACATATTATTGATTGTGTATCAGTTTTTTCTTTCAAACATCTTCCTTTTCTGGGAAAAGAAATTACATTTACAAGTCATCGGGTCATTTAAAAAGGATAATATAATGTCATCTGCTTTTCTGAGAGAGTAGGGGTATGATAGATAATTGCATTTTCACATTTGAGATAATTTAATTTTATTTTTCAGTTCTAAAACTGTATCTTCAGGCACCGAACCGCATTCTTCTAATCAAATACCAATTGAATTAACTGCAGAGAAGGTTTGTTTTAAAGAGGTGGTTCTTAATTTATTTTATTTTTTAATTGTTGCAACTCTTGTTTTAAAACATTATGTTAATTCTGCTTTACATAAAGAGGAAAATGGCACATATAACAAGTCATAAATTGAAAAGAGAAATGATATGAATAGAGTAAAATGCAATATGTGATTTCTGGAGCTATTAGAAGAATTAGAAGTATTTGAGGAAAAAAACTTACTTTGATTCTTTTAAGCCTATTTGATAACTAATTTAGCTTAGTTTTTACATATTTATAATGCTTAAGGTTGATGGAAAAATAAGCCTACTTCCTAAATAGTCTCATTAAAGCTACATTACTCACTTCACAAGCACAAACACACATACAGGCACCATCCACATTTTCTTGCTTTGTTGGGATCTTAGACAGCTATTGTAGATTAGGAACTCACCCACAGGTGGACATTAGCTAATTAGAATGTGGAAACGGGACATACAGGTGAATTAAACTTTGTAGTATACTTTTTCTGCTTTATTAAAATATGTGGAATGTAATTGAATCAGTTTCGTGTCTTGGGCTCTTACTGTACTTTAGAATGTTCTTTTGATCACTTATGAGTTTTGGATTAGTGGGACATTGGGTTGTATTTTTGTGTTTTATTTTTTTGGTACTGGGGATTGAACCTAGGACCTTGAGCAGTTAGGTAAGTGCTCTACTACTGAGCTATATACCTTGCCTTTTTATTTTGAGATGGGTCCTCACTAAGTTGCTGGCCTTGACCTTGGGCTTACAGGTGTGTGCCATAGCCCCCAGCTATTGAGTTGTATTTTTAATTGCCTTTTGAATTTTAAAAGTTGATAGTTCAAGAGCTTATTTTCAGTTGATTTATTTGATGACTTGGTTATCTGAGGAGAGATTGTCATTGTGAGATTTTGTACCCTTTTTTCTTTGTATTTAAGTGTTTTTTGAAACTTGTGATTTTTAAATGATCCTTTATGTTTTTAAAAGCAGTCTAACTTGGAGAGGACGTGTTCTTCCAAAGCACTTGCTAACATTTCTTCTGGGAGTAACATTCCTAAAAAAAGGTACAGAGTTCCAAATATTTATTTCCTATACTTATATTATCAGTATTACTTTCCTTTCTTTCCTGAAGATAAAGGACTGTTAGATGTTGGCTTTTTCATTGACAAAAGGAGGTTAAAGCATAAGTTTCCAGTACTACAATTATTAGAGTAGATCCTGTTAGGTCCATGGCAGCGACTTGGTGGCGACTTAATGGCAACTTAGAACAAAGCAGCCCATGCCTGAAAAGAACATCAATCAGATGCTGCCGGAAATGCCTGTCAATCAGCAGGACCCCCTGGCCAATCCTAGAGTTCAGCCAACTCCCCTGACCAACTCCAAGGGGGCAAAGGGACCCTAGAAACACCTTTTCCTGTCCCAAGCCCTTCCCTTCTTGCTGTAAGCCCCATAAAAGTCCAGTCCGGTGCGAGCTTCCACATGGTTTCTCCTCAGACCCTTCCCCTGTCCCCTCTGTGGGTCTGATCGAGTTCCACCCGGGAGTGATATCTCAATAAAGCCTGTTCAGCGGCCCTTTTAAATCTGCCTCCTTTGGTAGCTGCCTGCCTTGTCTGATCTGACAGGTCCATACAATGATAGTATTAATTTAATAGCTAACATTTCATGGGTATTATTGTTTGCCAGGTTCTATGTTAAATGCTAAGCACTTCATATGTAACACTTCATCTTACAACAGTCTGTGAGTTAGTACTCCCTATTATTTATCTCCATCTTATAGTTGAAGATACCAAGGGTTAAGAAGTTAACTAACTTGTTGAAGAACATATAGCAAATGGCAGAGGTGACTTTTAAATCTATATGTGTATACAACTAGCCTTAACCACTGTTATTACATTTGTGTGAAATATACCCACTTCATTTTCAAAAAAAGGAATTTATGGCAACATAAAATGATAAACACATATAGAGTTGGGAGAGAATAAAGATAATATACTTGAACATTTAGGCTTACTATTTGATTTACTGATTAATGAAAGAGTGAGAAGAGTACAAATTCCAGAGTTTCTGAAGAAGGAAAATTTGAAAATCATGTCATGTCAGGGCCCGTGTTATACATACACAGTTTAAATGGACTATGTTTACATTCATATCAGGTCAAAGTATATTAATGTGATCTAGGATTGTTATGCATTTTCTAATGTTTTGCTCACTTTGATAATACTACTTTGGAGCTAATAAAATGTTTATCATAATATCAGTTTTCTACCCCAATCAATTCCTTTTTGTTTGAATGTGTGAAATGTAATTACCATTGTTTTATATGAACAGAAAGGTTAAGGGGTGTAAAAAACAATATGTCCATTAAATATCCTGAAGCATTTTTTCATTTAAATATTTACTTTTTTTTTTGCTAGGCTTCTTAGTTCCAGGTGCTATTTTAGGTTTTGGAATTCAGTGGAGAATAATGGAGACATAGTCACCAGCCCCCCACAGAGCTAATACTGTAATGGGATATACAGGGAAGGGAACATAAAACTACAATCCAGAAAATAATATTTTGGAAACAATAGAGGCTTAATCAGGGCTTCCCAGAAGTGATACTTGAAGCTTCAGTGGAAGTCAGTCAAGTGATATGAGGGAAAGTGTTCCAAGTAGAGGAATTGTTCACATGTAAAAAGCTGAAAGTAAATGAAGGTCTATGCTCAGCAATATGGCTAGAGATTACCTATCAGTAGAGAGTGGTAAAATTGAAGATAGAAAATTAAATAGAGTCCAGAGTATCCAGTTTCTTCTAAGCACTTGACTAGATCATAAAGGCAGTTAGGAACCTAAGGAAGTGTTTTAAGTAGAACAGTAATGTGGTCAAAGCTCTACTTCTGAACGAGAGTTGACAGACTTTTCTATAGAAGAAAGATAGTAAATACTTTAGTCATTGAAGGCCCAAACCTCTGTGACAGCTGCTCTACTTTACTTTTGTAGCCTCAAAGCAGCCACAGATAATATATGAAGGAATGAGTGTGACCATGTTCCTACTAAATCTTATTTATTAAATTAAAGTTTATATAATTTAGCATGTCACAGAATGATCTTTTTTAAAAAATCCATTTCAAAGTATAAAAGACTTAGCTAAGTCCTGACCAAAAAAAAAAAAAAAAAAAAAAGCTGGAGTTGGCCTGTAGACCATTGTGTGCCAACCCTTTATTAATCTGTTTGTTGTGGAGAGAATAGAGGAGGTTAGAGTTGTTGTAGAGACACAAATAAGGAGGTGATTGCAGAGGAATTTGCAAGAGGTGATAGTAGCATAGATGAGAGAAATGGCAGTGGGCATGGGGAGAAAGAGACTTGTGAGATATTTAGACTTCTAAGAACTTTTTTCCTTCAGTGCTGGGGATTGAACTCAGGGTATCACACACATGAGGCAAGCGCTCTACCACTAAGCTTCACCCTTGTCCTAGTGATAGAATTGTTAGTACTCGGTGATTGAAAAAGATAGATGGGTTAATACTGAGTTTGGGATACCTGTGGAATTGCCTAGAAATGAATTTAAATATAAGGATTTAGTGTACAGAAGTACACAGGATACTTTTATTTTCGTCAAATAATACATATGAAAAGTCAATTGATACTTCGAGGTCTGTAATAAAGTATGCACTTTCTAATGCTTTGCTCACTTTGCTCACCCTCCCTAAGCCTACTTAGCTGTATTCAATCTTCCATCTGATTTCTCTGGTACTTAATCTTTATATTTCTAAATGACATGCTTAGATACTAGTTTATGACTTACCAATTATAGAAATGTTTTATTGAATTGCTGTCATAGTAGGTTGCCTTCTTTCAATCCTCCCAACATAATTATAAGTTTTGGTCATATTAATAATTTATTTTTATATTGTTATAACCACAAAAATATTCTATACTAAAGCCAAACTCTGTTGATATGGCCACCACTACCTTTATTGTTCCTGATGTTAATAATTGTCTCCTCCTTTATTTTTAACACTTCCCATCTAGTGAACATTGAATATTAGTTGTCAAATTTTTAATTGATGAGAATTCTGGTTCTCTTTTTGTTTAATAATATATAACTGTTTTCTTGTTTCGTAGATACAGTATCTTTATTAATCTCTTTGATGATATTCATTATAGTTACTTTGAAACATTCTTCTGTGAACTTGTAATGATGTTCAGAGACATCACATTCTTTTTTTTGTTAAAATTTTTCTGCATATACTTCTGCCTCAGGGATATTACCAGGATTTGGCCAGTATACATAATAATAAAATTTCCTTTGTGAAATAGTTTAAAAATCATTTTTCAAATGGCATTGTAGTATAAAGATTCTATAATTCTAATATAAATGTTAATATGTAATTTAAAGCAGATTTATCATTTTCTTGATTAACCTGATAGTACTAGTTCTTTGAACTGTAGTTATCTTTCTTCAGGGTCCAGTCTATTTATTGTAGTGATAGGATTTGTTAATACTTAATTTGATAATTGTGAAAATGAAATTCTTTACATTATAGTTTCTGAGTTCTTATAACAGAGAAATCTGTAAACATCTCTTAAATATCAAGTATGCTCTCCCTTTTGTCCCCCAAAGCAGGAATTTATTTAAATGTGACACCTCTTATGTAGACTATTCTGTACAATTTCATTTTTATAACTTTTCCTGTTTCCAATTAGTTTATCAATGAGAAATGTCTCTTGTAGAATATCTAGTTTGCTGCCTAGCACCTTTCATACCATGTTTCCTCATTAGGTATAGTTTTTCCCTCTTGAAGAGTCCAAAACAAAACAAAATTACTTCTTTTTTTTTTTTTTTTTTTTTTTGTTACTGGGTATTGAACTTGGGTGCTTTACCACTGAGCCATATCCCTAGCCCTTTTTATTTTTTATTTTTGGACAGGGTGTCAGTAGCTTAGGGTCTTGCTAAGTTGCTGAGACTGGACTCAAACTTGCAGTCCTCCTGCCTCAGCCTCCTGAGTTGCTGGGATTACAAGTATGTACCACCACATCTAGCTACTTCTTTTGCTTTATGCTTATTCATTTCATTTTGAAGAAAGTTCTGAATAATATTATGTTTTCCATCAATTGAAAATCAGCGATTTTACATCAAGAATCATAGATTGTATTTGTATTAGTTAAGAAAAAAATGTTCTCTTTAGTATGGATATGCAGTATTTTCTTTCAAAACATTTGTTTGAGGAGGAGGATAGGACAGATACTTTTCTTAAGTACATCAATTTTATAAAGAACTCAAATTACAGTTTTAACTATATGATTATACTGACTGTATTTGTTCTGAAATATTTAAAATCTAATTGTTGCCACTTAAATAATAATTGCCCTCCTGGCATTGTTAAGAATAAATATTTGTACTGAGTTGGAATGATATTCTCATTTTTATGGGCAAAATAAAATTAGGAGAAAGAAAAGACTTTATTATTTATTTATTTTTTAATATTTTAGTATCATGGTGCATTCATCAGAAAAATCTTACAGTTTCTCAGATCCTGTTCTTTTGGCCCAAGAGCAAGAGACTCAGGTAAGGTTTTTGTGAAAAGGGGTAATTAATTTATGAGAGGGGAGTTAGTATTCTGTGCATGCTTAAAAATCTGCTACCAGTTTATTAAAAATTGTTCTTTAGCTAAGAATCTGAGATAGAGTTCAGTTTATTTTCATCTTAAGGGAAAATGTAGTATCTGAAGCTCTAAATGTAACAACTGAATTTTTCTAAGTACATTAAAAAATTGTGAGTTCTTTTCTCTTTTGTTGTTGTTCAGATTATGTTATATCGCAAATTGGTAGAAGCTAGACAGAGACATGCCAATATAATGGATGTACCTCCAGCTATTTTGGCAACAAATAAGATATTGTTGGATATGGCCAAAATGAGGTAAGCTGTTTGTTTACATTCTGATTTATTTCCTCTGACATAATAGATTTGTAAAATATATCATTAAGTAATAAGCTGACCAGGGATTCAGCTATCAGATTTGTGAGCTAACGCCCAAATCTCCCATGTTGCTATGCAGATCTCTTTGCTAAGCTTTAGTTCCACGTTTCTGCATGAGTTGAGAACCAATTATGTATAGCAATCAGATTCAGTATATATAAAATCCAACTCATTGTTCATTTACCTTCCATGTACATATTTTATCCAAATGCCAGTACTCCTCTCTCTGAATCCCTCATTTTTAGTGGTACTATCATGTTTCTAATCACACGTTTAAAACTTGATATTGTTTCCACTCCTTAACATATATCTTGTCTCTTATTCAGTTAGTGTTCATTGGAATGTTTTGGTATTTATCTATATATGCCTTCCTGCCTATTCAACCCCATATTAGTACTTATTATAATAGCCTTTTAAGTGGTCACTCTTCAGTTTATCTCTCCATGGGAAACCATCTTAACTTCTTCTTCTTCTTTTTTTTTTTTTTAAGAGAGAGAGAGAGAATTTTTTTTTAATATATATATATATATATTTTTTTTCGGCAGACACAACATCTTTGTTTGTATGTGGTGCTGAGAATCGAACCCGGGCCGCACGCATGCCAGGCGAGCGCGCTACCGCTTGAGCCACATCCCCAGCCCCCCATCTTAACTTCTTTAGCCTAGAAATCAAGCCCCTCCATTATGGACTTAAACCTGCTTTTTTTCATCTAAGTCACAGAATTCAGAATGATATATCTTACCTGGATTGTCTACCATTTATTGAAGATTCCTTTTCAACTTATATATATTTATTTACAGTCTTGCTTTTGCCTTGTATTTCCTTGATTCCTTAAAACTCTTCTTAAATCCTTCAAGATCTAGTTTTATTACTGTTTACTTCATGAAGCCTCCTGTTGTGTTACTCAGCAAAATAATTCCTCTATCTTGAATTCATAAAGAACTTTTAGATGAATTCTAAACATGCTTTAATGGCACTTTCACAGAATGCCTTATTAATTTTTATAATTAATGGGAGACATATATTATATCGTCTAGATTTTAGTCTCTGTGGATAGAGATATTTGTTCCTATTCTCTATGTGTCTTTCACAGTACTAAGCACAATGCCTAATAAAGACTAGGCATTTAATAAATATTTAGAAGAAATTATTCCCAAAGAATAGTTGCTGGGTAATTGTATTCATTTTTATACTTCCTTCCAAAAATGTGTTTGTTGCTAATTTTCATTCATTCATCTTTTTAAACTTCATTTAAAAATTGTCACTAAATTTCATTCAATAGATGTAACTCTAGCGCAGAATTTTCTAATGACATTACAGTGCTTTATATTTTACAATAATATTTTTTTGAAAATATTTACCTGTATTCTAAGTCCACACTTTAATATTTGGAGAAGATATTTAAGGAAAAGGAGTTATCATTAGCTTGGCAGATTTTTAGAAGATATTTTACAGTCTTTTGGATATTGGACACAATAAGAAATAAGAACTAAAAGCCTAGTTAGCAGATTTTTGTTATAGGTAAACATCTTTAAAAAATAGTTTTAGTTGTAGATGTACACAGTGCCTTTACTTTGTTTGTTTGTTTATTTGGTACTGAGGCCCGAACCCAGTGCCTCTCATGTGCTAGGCAAGCACTCTATCACTGAAGTACAACCCCAGCCATAGATAAGCATTTTGTAGAAAAAAATGATTGAAACAGTCTTAAAAAAAGAGAGTTTTTAAGGCTCTTAATTGTCCTCAGGTAGTACCTCCTAGTTTTTGTTTTTGCAATAATAATAATATAAATAATAGTGCAAGATAAAATGTTAGCCTGCTTCTTTCTGACAGTGACCTGTTTACTAGATAGTACAGCTACTATGCTTTAGTGGTGATAGAGGTAGTGGTGGTTTTATTCATGAATTGTTAAAACAGCAAATCTGTAAGTGGAGGAAAGCAAAGAAATAAATTTATAAAGTTTTTGCCTGCTTGTATAGTAATTTGTATTTTATTTTTTAAAGAAATGTACATTTATTAAATATCACTATGAAGCTGAACATCAACTGTATTGCTGGAGTGATGCTGTTTCAGTGGTTTATTGACTTTTTTTTTTTTAAATGATAGACCAACGACAGTTGAAAATGTAAAACAGATCGATGGTGTTTCTGAAGGCAAAGCTACTGTGTTAGCTCCTCTGTTGGAAGTCATCAAACAGTTCTGCATAGAAAATAGTATTCAGGTAAAATAATATTGGAACTATTAGAAAAGAACCTTTCTTTGACCATTTCAAAAGCAACATTTTAGCCTTTTATTTGCATTTTCATACTGGACACTTAGAAAATGGATTCAGATTGTTTTTATAGTAAATAGTTATAAAAATTTGTTAGTTACTTGTTAAAAGATGATAGTAAAGCGATTGTCTGGGAGGCTTTTGTTTCTATTTCATTGGTAGGCTTTATTTTGAAATTTGACTAAGTCCTGTATTTTAGGTTGATAAATTTGCTTCCTAGTAGTATAAACACTTATAATTCCCAAAGTGCAACTGCTTTGACACATCAGACTTTTAAGGTTGCAAGAATGAGGACTGAAACCCCACACTAAACCATGGCAAAATGCCACAGCATGGGGACCAGTCTAAGAAGCTTGCAAAGCTTTCCTAGAAAACATCTATTCTGTCTTGATGTGTTCTTTCTACAAACTCCAAAATGCAGCCATTCTGAAACTTTAAAGTGGAAATAGAAAGATATAACACCTTGCCCCATTTTATTTAGACCTATTATATGCTCAGAACATTAAATCCCCACCCTTCAGGGTATTTGTTTACAATTCTCTTTAATGTTAATGTGAAAGTATAGCTCTGAAATTTGTTATGAAATGCCCTCAAAAGTTTGGAAAACATGCAGGATGATTCAAATTCTAAAATTAGGCATTGTACATATAATAAGGAAAAGTCAGACATTTATATTTCTTGCCAATTGGTAGACCAAAACTTACATAACAATTTTTTAAGTTGAATTATCTTAATGACAGAATATGGAAACAAAAAGTAAATGGCTTTCCCAAAGAAAACTCATATTCTTCCTCATGTATCTAAACAAAATTTAATAAACCATAATGATAAAAAACATTGCCAAAATGATACCAGTGTCACTCATCAGGAAACAAGGCTCTTTAAATTATTAAACTAGTTTGTTACAAATTTTGTTACGACTATAGTAGGCTGTTTTGTGTGTGATTAAGAAAATAGTTGTCTATATCTTTAAGATATTCCAGTATTTCTATATTAGTTTTATTTTTACTCTGTTTTTTCCTTTTAAACATCTTTTAAGGAACCATATTTGAGATTTTACATAATGTTTAAAGGTTAGAGTTCTGGTTAGGCTATATTTTTATAAATTAATTGTGTGTGTGTGTGTGTGCATGTGTGTGTGTACACACACACATATTTGTGATTGTGGTTACCTGTTGAATATTGATTTTGTTTATTCATTATTCAATATTCACTTCCAAAGGATTAGGGATATAGGAACAGAGTGGTTCACATTGTAGTTCCTTTTCTTATTAACTAAAGAGAAGACTAATAAAGTTTGTTATTACAAATATAAAATTTATGTCCTCTAGTATTACTTTTCCTTTTAAAATCAATATGTGAAAAATCCAACTTCTTTTTGAGCTCCCCATAAGAATTCTTTGGTTGACTTCTCTTATTTTTTCCTAATGGGAAATGATTATATATTGATATTATTATATCTATCATTGATGTTATTATTCATTACTTGTGCTACATTTACAATTATGTAGACAGACCTCTTTTCAAATATAATACCTCAAGAAGAACAGAAGAAAAGTCTGGAAGTTAAAAATAAAAAATGCTCACTCTCACAGTCTGTGGCCTGCACATATTCTTTATTCCAAGAAAAGAAAATGTCTTTGGTAAGTATTACTTTTATGTTACAGATAATTTTTTAGTTTATTTAAACTTGTGTTTTATTAGCTTTTGTATATTAGAGCTGGGAGTTGTGACCAATTTCTTCTAACTGCACAAGAAGTCTTATTTTATTTTTAATTTTAAAACAATGACATTTCCTCTGTTAAGCCTATCCCTGTCTAGGAGCAACAGCAAAACTGGTTTGACAGTGATTTTTTTCAAAGAGATTATATGCATTATAAGTAAACACATTTATAGCTCAGGGATACTGCAGCAGCAATATTTTAAAACTATTCTTTTAAATGAAACTAATAATTTAAAAAGCTATTATATGTACTGTTAAGAAAAAAAATCTCCTAGAGCAGAGGGTGTAGCTCAGTGGTAGAGTACGTGCATGATTAGCATGTGTGAGGCCCTTGGTTCAACCCCCAGAAACCATATACACAGAAAAACAAAAAAAGAAAAAGAAACAAGGAAGAAACAGTGTTCAAGATACATTAAGTTTAAAAAATGGACATGCAGAATGGTGTTTAAAAAAAAAAAGAAAAAACTATATATACACACACACATATACATAAATGTATATATTCCTGCTTTTATATTCATATCTCCTTGTATGTGTTAAAAATGTGTACAGTTATCTCTGAAAGTATATTCAAAAACTGGAAATAAAATAATTTAAAAAAAAACTTATTTTTACTCTATCTTCTTGCATTTTTTTTAAAACTAAACAGATGTTCTTTGGGACAGATTTAATTACTGTAAAGAAATAGCCATTCTTAATGTTTTTTCATTGTTCTTATATAAATCCTTAAGGCTTCTGAGGTTTTATTTGTTTTGATGGGTATACAATATGAAGAGATAGAATAGGGATAGAATGAGGCTTCTAGCTGAGTTTAGTTGATTTGAATTCCTGTTCTCTCTGACATTAAATTGATTTGGAACATATTATGGGATCCAATGCCAGCTTTTCATATCCACTGTGCCTCAATCCACTAAACTGCATGTTTACTTAACTCAGGGTCCACTGTAAATACAAATAAATTGTTCATAGCTTATCTTACTAACTTAACGGTCTAATTAGATAGGTTCCTCAATTAAAAGTATAAAAGTTATTACCTGAGAAACCAAATAATTCTATTGTACTATTTTTGTAACAAAATACATGTTAAATAGAAATTTTAAGTTGAATTCTTATGTAATTAGTAATTTACACATACATGTTAAATATGCCTGTATATCCATGATTTGGCCATATATATATATATGGTAGAAATGGATATAGTTATTAAGGAAATCTGGTACAGTCTCCAGATTTTTCTGAATAAAGTGCATTCTAATAGTCATAATATGAGGTTTCATATGTTATATTACACATTCATACTTTAAGATATGAACAGTGGTATATCTTCATTTATGTCTTTTGGGGTTTGGTAGTATTTTATTGTGTGATATGATGGTTAATTATTTGTACCTCCCTAGAGTCTGAGAGGGTCTTGCCAGTTAACCACCAAATTAAAGATGCCTAACAACTAATTAATCAGGAGCAATAATACAATTAGTTTGAGGTAATTTGATGCCTAGTATCAAATAACCGTATCAAATAACCATGATATTATGCACACATGGTGCCCACTTTTTAGTAAAAAAGGTAGACATTTAATGAAAGTAATTTAATACTACTTTTGAAAGTAGCACCTTAAATGGACTGTTCTGTAAAAGTATCAATAGTCACAAAGATAGTCTACAAATTTAGACTTTAGAAATACATGAGGAGTATTATGAAATGTTAGAGTTGAATGACTAAGCTTTCTGAATGTTGTGAAAAGAATGTTTCACCTAATACATATCTTAATATATTTGGAGTCACATTTGTTTTAAAAACTTTATAAATATGAAATACTATCCTAAATTTAATGTAATTCATGCTAAATTCAATAGTAGGATAGTGCTGACAGCCCTTGTTAAAATTATAACTATTATTTTGTGAATAGAGCCAATTTAAAACACCTGTTAAAGTCTTTGCATGAGCCTTTTACGGAACACATCTAAACCTTATGTTATCACTAAGCATTTTAAGATTTGTTTCCTTGGAAATTGATGTAACTAAAGCACCGTCTATTATTTCAAGTATGTAGAATATTACAGTACAATTTTCTGTATTTCCAGTAGGTTATGACCACTATTAGATTTACATGGAATGGCTTCCCTCTGCCACTAATAGTTTTCTAAAGTGAATAATTACGTATGAAGATTGAATTTTTGGCTAAAGTTAGGTGATTTTGTTTTAATCAATATAATGATTATAAAAAGTAGATCCTGTGGAAGTCTGTAGTACTTTTAAAGAAATAAAATGAAAAATTTAAGTGAAAGTGTAGTCCATTATTTATTTCTCATTGCACGTGTACTTTCTGAAGGTTTTAGGTATTTTCTTACCCTGAGGTATAGTGAAAACTTGAAAAAAAAATACTTTTTTTCCTCCTACTGTTTGTCTATAGATTAGCATAGCTGAGAAGAGGATTCTGCCTCTCACAGCAATTGGCATGCACTTAGCCCAAGCAGTGAAAGCTGGCTACCCCCTGGATATGGAGAGAGCAGGCCTGACTCCAGAGGTTCAGAAGATTATTGTTGATGTTATCCGAAACCCTCCCGTCAACTCAGGTGATAAACATGGCCTTTCTTTGCAGCCTTAATGACTTGAGTCACTGTACCCAGATGAAGTAAACAAGCAATCTGTTAATACTTTTCACTTTAACAGAATTGACCCTTTATGATATTGTAAAAGCCTAACTTTTATAATGCTTCTTATTGTTTTAGAAAAACAAATTTTCTTCCTAGTATCATTCAGAGAAAAGTATACTGGGAAATTCTTTTTTCCTTCCCACTTTAGATAACAACTTCCCCAGCGCCCCAAAAGTGCACTTTACCCTTTTCTAATTTCTACCTCATTATTTGCAAAAAAATACTTCTCCACATTCTTTCCCAACAGCTTGTTGACAGCTTGTTTTCCCCTAAACCTTTCTGATTCCTTGTTTGACTTGAGTAATCTCTCTAATCAACAAAATGGTTGTGACATGGGATGGGTAGGTCAAGTTTTGTAGCTCCTGTAGGAGGATTTGCAAAATCTCAACTGTGCTCATAGAAGTAGAGCCTCTTTACTTGCCCTGCAAAAAAATTATAAGGAATGATCCATTGTTTACAGAAGTAAAGTTGTGGGATATTAGAGGATTTCTCCCTTAAATGTATATATGTATAAACTTGGTTTGTCATAATTCAGTGAATCTAATAATTTTTTCCAAACTATTAAGATAGAACAAACATAAGGCCTTATCTCCAAAACCACATGAATAATTATGTTTTATGACCTCAAATTCTTTCCCACATGGAAGCAACTATAATGTTCTCCCGAAGAATTTGAAAATAAGGGAAATAAGATCACTCTCTAAAAGCAGTTAATAGTATTTAATTGACCAGAGCAAAAATAATCAAGTCATCTTAAAAGGCAGCATTATTTCTAGGATAAAGCAAGACTTGACTGAAGGTGTAAAGAACAAACACTTTCATCGCTTCCATTGACCCACTGTGGAAGCCCAGAAACAGGAGAGAAGGGCATGTTCTGGTGGAGCTCATCTAAGATCCAGAGATGAGGAGTGGTGGCCATCGAGCCTGTTGATAATATTATATCAAGATCATGTCTGATACTCTTAACAAGTAATTCAGCTTCTATGTCACTTTCTAGCTTTCTGGTTATAATTTTCTCTATCTATAGGGAAAGCATGCTCTAGTCATGCTTATTTAAGTATCTATTTGATAATTATATATTAATTGTAAGTTAATAAATTGGAATTTTTGTGAACTTGGTCAGTGTGAATCTGATAAGGGTTAAATTTGGTTTCTAACTTTGAAAGCCCGAGAGCCAAATCCTATACAATAAAATATTCAAGGTAATTTAGCTGTGGATTATCTTCTGAGAAAGCTAGCCAGCTCTCCTGGTCACATTCCAGTCTTTATAACACCAGCAGCTATTTTGCTGGTAATTAAGGTTGAGGGAGGAAGATAGTAATTACTTTAAGGGATTGGATTAAGGTGGTAAAATCTGTTTCTTCATTGCAAAAAGACACTGTTTTAGGAAAAGTCAGACTCAAATGCTTTCTTGATTTTAATACTCTGAAATTATTTTTTCATTATAAATGTGTTATCAGGACTCAGAAAACAATGTCTTTTGATAAAATTTTCAGTAGTAGGCAACATTCTCTAAGTTTGTATATTTTTCCTTTTTTAAGAAAAAATATTGACAATCATGTTTGCTGTTATTTGACTAACTTCCTTAAATCCTTAAGATTGCCTTCCTTAAATCCAGATGGTTTTACCTAGTCAATAAGAGCAAAGGTTCAGGCAACAGATATATTCTCAGATCTTCTGTCTACCATTTCATGGTTATGTGAACATTGATAGATTACCCAATCTCCCTGAGCCTCAGTTGCCTCATCTTTATAATAGGGAGGGATAATATTGCTTGTCTTACACAGAAATAAATTAGATAAAACAGAAAACCCTGGCACATGATAAATAGTAAGTGGTGATGCTAAAAGATTATAACTGAAGAAGTAGATGGTAAGATCTCACAACATCTTAAAAATACCCTTTAAATCTGATTCATTTTATACTTTATCCTTTTTAATAGCTAATTCAGAATATATGAAGTTGATAAATATGGATATAAAAAGGAAGATTTTAGAAACTACAGTCATCTCTCAGTGTTTGCAGGATATTGGTTTCAGACCCCTCTCTCCCCTGCATAAATCCAAAAATGTGGGCTGAAGTCTCCTATATTAAATGGTTTAGTATTTGCATGTAATCTACATAATGCTTCTGTATACTTTAAAACATCTCTAGATTACTTACCATAAATACGTACTATAATGTAAATGCTATATAAACAGTTACTATCCTGTATTGTTTAAGAAATAAGGGTAAAAAGTAAACCCAGGACATGGAATACAGGGATGCAGAACCCACAGATATCAATAGCCAAGTGTATTTTACAGAAACATACACCTTTAATAATTCTGGAAGAACATAATGTATTTTGTGTGTGTGTGTTTGTCCTAAAGAATTCTTGGGCAGGAGGATCACAAGTTCAAAGCCAATTTCAGCAACTTGGTAAGACTCTGTTTCAAAATAAAGAATAAAAAGGGCTGGGGATGTGACTCAGTGGTTAAGTGTCCCTGGGTTCAATTCCTGGTACCAAAAAAAGAAGAAAAGAAGAAGAATTTTTGGGCAATATTCTTCAGTGACATAAGATGAATGTTCTAATCTCAGTTTATTATTGGCAGCGGGAAATGATAAAGGAAAATTTAAGATTATATTTATTCAGTCAAATATTGACAACATCTATTTTATTTGTCTATGATGAAGAATTGAGTTGCTGGTGATTTCATTTCTAAATCATATAGTCATAAAGTTATGGAACTTTATATTTGGAAAAGAAATTGGGAACATTAAATTTTTTCTTTCCCACTCACATCCTGTTTTTAGAGACAGAAAAGTGAGACTTGTAGAGTTGCAAAATTGTTTTAATATCATATCTAAGGTTAGAGCAAGTTTTTCTTTTTATTAAACCATGTTTAAGTTATATTGCCAGTTAACTTAAAAGAAGGAAATATGCAATTTATAAGTCTTATATAGGATTCAGGTTTATAAATTTCTAACTTGATAAGTAAAATAAATTAGCTTGATAATGTTTTGTTTAATAACTTCTATATCTTTAAGTATTGTTTACAATATCTAGTATCCATTATGTTAAGTTTAGCAATTTCAGTTTCTGATGTTAGATAACTTTTTAAATTAAACAATATTGAAATCAATATGTAAGCATGAAACATTCTTATAATTGAACAGCTTGATTTCAAATATTAGGGAGATGAGAAAAGTATTTTGCAATAATTAATGACTAAAACATTAATAAAATATTTGTCTTTACCATTATATGCAGAGTATAGCATTAAATAAATTTCTATTTGGAGATAAATATCAAATTAAATTGAAAAGAGTAGCGGAGAGTTTTTGACTTATTAAGCACATATTTTAGCTTTGTGTCAATATATGTGTGCAGGTTGCATACATAATATTAAAAAAGTATATTTTTTGGCCTACTTTCCTTCCAGAGCCAAAATGGAGAAAGTTAAGAAGGTTGTGATAACCATAAATTCTGACTTTTATTTGTTTTGATAGTATATTTATAGTCTATAAGATACCATGAATTGATGTGAGACTTTGCTTTTAGATTCTTATTTTTCTTTGATAAAATACTATTTGTTCTCCTACTGGAGAAAACATAATTAAGTTATAAATGATAAGAAATAAAGATATACTTGCTATATTAATGACATTATTTTTGTCTTTTTTAAAATAAATTTTAAAATTTTGTTATATATCAGTAGCATTACAATTCATATTACACATATATATTACACATATAGAGATAATTTTTCTTATCTCGGATTGTACACAAAGTACAGTCATACCATTCGTGCTTTCATACATTGCACCATCTTGCCTACCCCCGTGCCCCCTCCCTTCCTTTCCTTCCCTTTTGTTCTATCTAGAGTTCATCTAATCCTCCCATGCTCCCCGGCAACTCCATTATGATCAGCATCCTTATATCAGAGAAAACATTTGGCATTTGGTTTTTGGGGATTGGCTAACTTCATTTAGCATTATCTTCTCCAACTCCATCCATTTACCTGCAAAGGCCATGATTTTATTCTCTTTTAATGCTGAATAGTATTCCATTGTGTATATATACCACATTTTCTTTATCCATTCATCTACTGAAGGGCATCTAGGTTGGCTCTACAGTTTAGCTATTGTGAATTGTGCTTCTATAAATATTGATGTGGCTGTGCCCCTGTAGTATGCTGTTTTTAAGTCCTTTGGGTATAGACTAAGGAGTGGGATAGCTGGATCAAAACACTGGTTCTATTTCCAATTTTCCAAGGATTCTCCATACTGCTTTCCATATTGGCTGCACAAATTTGGGTGCCTTTTCTCCCACGTCCTCACCAATACTTATTGTTTGTATTCTTAATAGCTACCTTTCTGACTGAAGTGAGATAAAATCTTAGTTTTGATTGGCATTTCTCTAATTTTTAGAGATGTTGAACATTTTTTCATATATTTGTTGACTGATTGTATATCATCTTCAGAGATGTGTCTGTTCAGTTCCTTGGCACATTTATTGATAGGGTTATTGTTTTTTGTTTGTTTGTTTGTTTGTTTTTTGGAGTCTTATTAAGGAAATTGGGGCCTAATCTGACATGATGGAGATTTGGGCCTACTTTTTCTTCTAATAGGCGCACTGTCTCTGGTTTAATTCCTAGGTCCTTGATCCATTTTGAGTTGAATTTTGTGCATGGTGAGAGATAGGGATTTAATTTCATTTTGTTGCATATGGATTTCCAGGTTTCCCAGCACCATTTGTGAAGAGACTGTCTTTTCTCCAATGTATGTTTTTGGCACCTTTGTCTAATATAAGATAACTGTAATTATGTGGGTTTGTCTCTGTGTCCTCTATTCTGTACCATTAATCTACAGGTCTATTTTGGTGCCAATGCCATGCTGTTTTTGTTACTGTTGCTCTGTAATATAGTTTAAGGTCTGATATAGTGAAGCCACCTACTTCCCTTTCTTACTAAGGATTGCTTTAGCTATTCTGGGTCTCTTATTTTTCCAGATGAATTTTATGACTTCTTTTTTTAGCATTATGACAATGATATGATTCTATACCTAGAAGTCCCAAAAAATTCTATCAGAAAACTTCTAGAACTTGTGAATGAATTCAGCAAAGTAGCAGGATATAAAAATCAACATCTGTATATCAAAGGCATTTCTGTATATCAGTGACAAATTCTCTGAAAGGGAAAGGAGGAAAACTACCCCATTTATGATAGCCTCAAAAAAAAAAAAAAATCTTGGGAATCAACTTAATGAAAGAGGTGAAAGACCTCTACATGAAAACTACAGAATGCTAAAGAAAGAAATTAAAGAAGACCTTAGAAGATGGAAAGATCTACCTTGTTCTTGGATAGGCAGAATTAATATTGTCAAAATGACCATACTGCCAAAAGCACTATACAGATTTAATGCAATTCTAATCATCTTATTTAACTGCAGCTTTATCATGTAATTGTGTTTTAATGAAAAAGTTTAATTGAAATTTAAATTTGGCACCATCCTGAAGTGAGAAATTTTCTATATTTTATGTAACATAGTCTTTACCTAAAAATTAAGTACTGGTGTATTAAAATATTATTTTGAAACACCCTTATTTGCTACATAGATTTGGGCTATATAACTCTTATGGAAGTCTATTTCTTTTAAATCTTCTGTATTTATATAATCTTAACCTTTTTATTGAGTTGATTCTGACTGTATTTAATAACTAATTAAGAAAGGTATTTAGTGAGATGCACAGATAATGTTTTGAATAATTTCTTTCTCCCATTTTTGTGTACTTGTAACTGGAAAATAAAAGGTGGCTTCCACGGGACGTGCCATAAAAGTAGGGGTAACATGGTCTCTTTTAAAGCACTGAAGGAGGGCTGGGAATGTAGCTCAGTTGGTAGAGTGCTTGCCTCGGTTGCAAGAGGCCTTGGGTTCAATCCCTAGCACCATACACACAAACACAAATACTTAAATCACTGAAGGAGTACAGCTAGTATTATTATTTAGTTCTTCAGTAGATATTTATTTACTTGGAAAGTTGGACCAGAATAAGATGGATCCTTAAAGCTAGATGTCACTTATTTGCATATGTATAATGAAGGATGACTTTAAAATAGAAATATAAAAGGTACTTAAAGAAATGTGTAAAAAATATGAATTTTCTACTTATACCTAAAATTTTATTAACTTTATGTATTTCTTAAATCACTAACAGAGGTTAAACACCAGAAGCAATGGTTTATATATTGTAATTTTATGAAAAAGAAGACATTATAGTATTAGAAATTAATTGATTCAAAATACCTTTTTAATTTCTTTTTAAATGACTCAATTAGCCTATATGACATTATGGTAGTTCAAGATTGTATGGATTTTAAAAAAATTGGTTTGCAAATATTTCATTTATAGCATGAAGAAATTAAGGATGGGTGGGGCATGGTGGTACATGCCTGTAATCCCAGTGGTTCTGGAGGCTGAGGCAGGAGGATAGGTTCACAACCAGCCTCAGCTACAGTGAGGTGCGAAGCAACTCAGTGAGACCCTGTCTCTAAATAAAACAGAAAAATAGGTCCGGGGATGTGGCTTAGTGGTTGAGTGCTAATGGGTTCAATTTTTTAAATGTGAAAAAAAGGAAAAAAAAAAAAAAAAAGAAATTAAGGATGTATTTGATTTTTAGATACCCACAGAAGAAAATATAGTACATTATAGTTGTATTAATTGATTAGGTTGTGTGACAATTTATACTTTTCTAGAGCAGCACTATTCAATAGAAATATGATATTAGCCACCAATTTAATTTACTTAATATACTAAAATTTTATTATTTCAACATTTAATCAATATAAAATTACTAATGATATTTCTTTTTCTGTAATAAACCTTTGAAATCAGATATTTTACATTTATAGCATATCTTCTGATGCTAAAGTTTAAGTAGAAATACTTTAGGTATGTTTAGATTTCATAAAATTTACATCTTAACAAGTAGATTGGCATAATCAAATTGCTCCAAAATGCTTAAGTTTTCCAATAAAAGAATCAAATATCAGTTTTAAATTTAATTTTAAATTAATTAGAGTAAGTTATATTTAAGAATTCATTTTTTATTCATACCAGCCACATTTCACTTGCTCCATAGCAACATGTAGGTTATTAGTTACTGTCTCAAAACAGTTTGGCCATATACATCAAAATATAAAAGGTGTCTAACCCTTGAACTATCAATCTGTCTCCTAGGAATCTATAAGTATGGAAAGATATACATAATATGATATTCATCATAACGCTGGTTTTAAAAAAACAGAGAAGACAAAGGGAACTCAAAAAGTAAATTCTGACATACACATAGAACTAAACATTCTTTAGTCATAAAAAAATGAAGTAATAAAATTTGTGATGTTTCCATGGTATATTAGAATTGGATAATGATCAAGGAACAAATAAAATTTTAGTTTGGTTGGTAGATATGGCAACTAGAGGCTATTTTCCTTTTCTAAGACTATGCTTAGTACCAGTCTTAAAAACTTTAAAAATACTTAGATAACCCAGTGTCCTAATTTTAATGAGCTTCTTAACTTTCTTTCTGCCTTTTTTTTTAATCAAAGTGGAGTGTATGGGAGAAGGCCTGGAATAGCGAGCTAAGATCTTTGGAAGAAAAAAGATGTAAATCTGAAAACTGTAATAATATGAAACCATTTTTTCAGGGTGGGCATTAAAAAACGACTTGGTTTCTGACTACTAAATTGAATTGTTAGAATGTTTGATGTGTTTTATAAGTCACATGAATATGAGTGAGTAGATTCTATGCTGCTTATTTTTGTTATGTTCTAGAGCATGCAGATGAATATGATGTTGAAGGAAGTGCTTGAAACATGCCTAGTGGTTTGTTTGTAAAAGATTGCTACATAATTTGTAGAAGGTGTGTAGAAGACCCAATCTGAATTAGTTCTGTTGGATACAAAAAATTCAAAGTTCCTTGATTTTGAATATGCATCATATGTTTCCCAGAAAGCTCATCTAGTTAATAAGCATTTTGAACAATTGATGTGTTTTGTTATGCTATAATACCCATTGAAAGGATTCTTTTTGTTAGTATATTACAAATATGATTAGCTCCTATTTTAAGAATAAATTATTTTTAAGATATATTAATTTGTAATGGATATTTGTAATTCAAAGCAGTTTCCTGTAGGAACATTTCTCTAAATGCTTGGATTGATTCTCAGGGAGGTCTACAAAAGGTAGTGTGAAACATAAATTTATTCAGAGTCAAAAGTACTGACCTATATTGGAGCCAGGTGGATTGAGGGGATGCAGGAGTGAGGGGGACTTGTTTGTAGTCCATTATCATTTTTGTAGGGCTATAAGCATGTGAAAGAGGAAATTTTTCTTGGGTAATCTTCCTCCTTCCTTTATGTAAAATATTTCACTGTATCCAGCTCATAGGTTTTTCTAAAGTATTCTGCACAATTTGTTTTAAAATTGTTTTTTTCATCTTTTACAGATATGAATAAAATTAAACTAATTAGAATGTTAGTTCCAGAAAACATCGACACATATCTTATCCACATGGCAATTGAGATCCTTGAAAATAATCATGACAGCAGACCGTTATTCCAGCCTTCGTGTGATTCCAACAAAAAGAGATGTTTTCCCAACTCTGAAGAGACCTGTTTAAGTTCTAAGAGAAACAAGGAAGAAGTAAGCACCAGTACTAAGGTGTTAATTATATGTAGAATTTTCATAAAGAGCTTATTCAGTTTGCATGTTCTAATACTAGAATGATCTGTACTTTTTTTTATTAACTCAGTATAAATATAATATTGGGGTTCGTTTAGACATAATTATACAAGCATGGAATATAATCTGCTCCAATTTAGTCTCCAGTACTTCCCCTTTCCTGCCCCTTCTTCCTCCCTTTATGGGTTCCCCTCCTTCCTCCCTCTATTCCCTTTCCTCAACTCTACTGATTGTTCTTCTGTTTACTTATGGTTTTTTAAAATTAGTCAATTATGGATATACATAAAAAGTGAAATTAACTTTGGTTCATTCATGTATGTGCATAGGAAAGTTTGGTCAGCTCCTCCCTCCCTCTCAATCCCCTTCCTCCACTGATCTCCCTTCTATTTAGTTGATTATATATTATATCAGCTTAATTTGTAGCAGTTTGACCTTATATCTGGGAAATTGTTTTTTTATTTCAGTGGTGTAGGTAATGGATTTAAGCATATGGCAATTTATATAGTTAATGAAAAAAAAAAAGAAAACAAATTCTATTATAAATATCCCCCAAGCTTATTTATATATCATTTTGTCATTCATCATGCTGTTACTATTACATTGAATATGTGGGATACCGGGATAATTTTGTTCACAGTTCTGAGCATATCATAAAGTGTTTTATGCATGATGAGAGAAATTTACAAATTTAGTATTATTTTAGGTAGTATATTGTATTAAAATCAAATGCTTTGAAAATTATTGCTTGATGTGTTATATGAGATAAAAAAGTGATCAGAGTTCATTTATTCCTCCCATGTTCCCCTTCCCTACCCCACTATGAGTCAGGCATCTTATATCAGAGAAAACATTCTGCATTTGTTTCTTTTGGGGATTGGTAAGAAGAATTATAATGTATTCTACTGTCATTTATTTTTAACAAATCAATAAAAAAAGTGATCAGAGAATAATTATTCTTTGACAAGGTGACTCTTAAATGATTGCATAAATTATACAATTTGACCTTCAGCGTCTTCCAGGTCTAAAATTATATGAGTCCAAGATAAAAGTTGTTGAACATTTAATAATACACTAAAAAATTATTTTAGTTCCTAGATGATAAATTTAGTGTAATAGTAGGTTATTAATACTTAAATTACAAGATTAGGGACTACAATTTAATTCTAAGGTAATCTTTATAGGATTTCAAACAAACTCCTACTTTTCTCAAAACCTTATAAATAAGGTAACTGGTCTTTTGAAATTCTATACTTAGGCTTATGTATAGTCATGTCCTAGATAACCTAATGAGATTTAATTAGTTGAATAGTTATAAAAGGAACATTAAAGTAAATATATTTTGGGTGGAGTTAATGAAATTTATCTTCTATGCCCAACCTTTCATTTTTGTAATCTATACTAGGTTCATTTATTAAGTGCTTAAGACTCTCTTATTTTTCCCCAACTTCTAATTGTCAGTATAGGAAAAGATGTAACTTATTTTTTCTTGTTACTTTACCTTTACAGTAAAGTATCATTTTAACCACACATTAGCAATTTTGTTTTTTTCCCACTGAAATAGCAACAGATGCCAACAGAGAGTGGAGACAGATTTTGGGAGATGGGTGGGAGGAAGTCATACTAAGCCTATTGGATCCTAAAGGTATGTCTAATTAAGCCTTTTTTCCCCCACTTAGGAGAAAAAGGGTATTGAGGCAGGCAGTGGGAGTAGATTAAGAGGTGAGGGAGCCATCAAAGCATCTTTTGTCAGCCTCCATGTATAGAAAGGTGCTCTGATTAATGTAGTCTCTTGGAGGCCTCCTTTCAGAGCCTTTTGTGTTTTAAAGTTCATCTTCTTTATTGACCTGGATTATATTCCTTCTTCTGTTCCATTTTATCATTGAGGCTTTTGATAAAGAATGTAATTATAATGAATTATTTTTATTAGTTGATGCATAGTTATTATTATGTCTGTTTTATTTACTGTTACATCAGAAGCTTGATCTAGTCTTAATGGAGGAATTCTATGTCTTGATAATGGTAGTTTTGATTTAAGATACATGGGAATACAGTGGGTTCTTTGAATATGTAGTTTTTTATTCTGGAATATTTTCTTGAATTATGGCTTTAAATTTTTTTTGTTTAATTCAAGAAAGTTTTCTTAAATTATATTTTCAGTATTTTGTTCCATTGCTTTGTATTTCTTCTTTAGGGACTTCTATCTATATGTTATGGTCTTCCTTACCTACCTTCAATATTGGTTGCATTTTATGAATACTTCTTATTTCTCTTTACAATTTTATTTAACTATTTACAATTTTATTTAACTTATTTCTCTTTACAATTTTATTTAACCTTCTATTTCTTTTTGGACATAATATTTATTTCTGTTTTCTGCATAATTTAGTACTCATTAAATTCTTTCTTTCTCTTCGATTATTTTTTTCCCCTGAGTTTTTCTTTCAATTTTTTAGTTTTCTGATTTTGATTTATGCTGTTTTTCATGTTTTGAATAATTTTATTAGTGTTTTTCAGCTCATTTTCAAAGGTTGCTATTTTTTTTTATAATTCAAATTTCTTTTTTTTTTATTGGTTGTTCAAAACATTATAAAGCTATTGACATATCATATTTCATACAATAGATTCAAGTTGGTTATGAACTCCCATTTTTACCCCAAATACAGATTGTAGAATCACATCGGTTACACATCCACATTTTTACATAATGCCCTATTAGTAACTGTTGTATTCTGCTACCTTTCCTATCCTCTACTATCCCCCCTCCCTCCCCTCCCATCTTCTCTCTCTACCCCATCCACTGTAATTCATTTCTCTCCTTGTTTATTTTCCCATTCCCCTCACAACCTCTTATATGTAATTTTGTATAACAATGAGGGTCTCCCTCCATTACCATGCAATTTCCCTTTCTCTCCCTTTCCATCCCACCTCATGTATCTGTTTAATGTTAATCTTTTCTTCCTGCTCTTCCTCATGGCACTAGAGCAGATCATGCTTAGTGAAGCTAGCCAATCCCTAAAAAACAAAGGTTGCTATTTTACTCTGTGTCTAAGCAGGTCTGATGTCTGAGATGTGATCTTGATTCTTTTCTGTTGCTCTTTTTAATGTGAAATTAGTTTTCCTGCACTTTAAAAGAAGGCATGGTCAGGATTTCTTTTTCAATTTCACATAATTCTAATGTCGTTGTAATATTCAAATATGAGATATATAGGGCTTTCTTTTCCATTTGTTTCTGTTGTACATGATCTACTTGATTTTGATAACCCTAGCACTTTTTCTTGAATGTGGGGCCTTCTCCTAGAAGATAGCCTTGAGTGGTCACAGATTCATCAAAGCTTTAGCCACTTCAGACACCAGTGGGAACTCTTCACATTCACATGCTAATTGGGTTGGACAAAAGCCCTCCAATTTTAAGATGCTGTTTTCACATTACTCTATCATGCTTTCTATTGGTGTTTTTTTTTTTTTTTTTTTGTACCAGGAATTGAACCAACCAGGGCACTTAACCACTAAACCACAAAGCTACAGCCCCAGCCTTTTTTTTTTTTTTGAAACAGGTTCTCACTCAATTGCTGAGGCTCATGTTGAATGCATGATCCTCCTGCCTCAGCCCCCTGAGCTGCTGGGATTATAGGCATGTACCACCATGTCCACCCCAGCGGACTGTTTTGGGGTTCTCCTGTTTACAGACACCTCACTATTTGTTTTTGCTTTTTCTCATACAGATGTTTATTGTGTTGATCTTTTTTTTAAAAAAAAAAAATGTTATTTTTATTGTTGTACTGAGAGGATTGGACTCAGGTTTGCTTAACCACTGAACCACATCCCCAGACCACCCTTTTTAAAAATTTTGAGACAGAGCCTCACTAATTTGCTGAGGCTGTCCTTGAACTTGTGATCTCCCTGCCTCAGACTCCTGAGTTGCTGAGATTACAGGTGTGCATCACCTTGCCTTGTGGCTATATTGGTGTTAATGGCTGTTGGTTGTCTGTCTTTACCTGCTTAATAGTTTGACTTTTTTCTAGATACCTCCAAGCTAAATTTCCCATGCTCTCGAGTGCCATTCATATATGAAGTCAGACTGCTTGTGGATTAATATATAATGCATAACATTTATTGTTTTCATTTGCTGTAAAACTAAAGATGACCTAAAAAAATGTTGAACTCAAAAAGAAAAAGATGGATTTTTGGTTTTGCTATCTATTTTAATACTGGTATTTAGAAATATTAAAAACTTTGCTGCTGCAAAGTTTCTTTCCAATACCTTTTCCTTTATCATTTTTTCTTTTTATTTTTCTTGACTACATAAGAGAAAGTTTTCTTTTAAGCTTGCTTTTTTTCCCATACTTTTTTTTATTGGTCACTGTAGTTGTATATAATGTTGGGATTTGTTGTTATATATTCCTACAGGCACACAGTAAAACTATATAATTTGGCTAGTATCATTCCCCAGCATTTCCCCAGCATATGACCCTTAACCTGAATTTGGTTTATTTCATTTAACATTATGTTCTCAGGTTTCATCTGTTTTCCTGCAAATGACATAATTTCATTAAAAATAATGTGTTTACACCACATTATTTTAATCTACTCATCTGTGATGTGTACCTGGGCTGGTTCCATAGTTTGGGTATTGTGAATTGTGCTGCTGTAAACATGGGTATACATGTATCACTATATTATGATGACTTTTCCAGTCTTTTGAGGAACCTCCATACTGGTTTCTATAGTGGTTGTACTAATTTAGAGTTCTACCGACAGCATAAAAGTGTTCCTTTTTCTCCACATCCTCTTTAGTATTTATTATTGTTAGTTTTCTTGCTGACTGCCATTCTGATGAGATGAAATCTCAGTGTGGTTTTGATTTGCATTTCCCTAATTGCTAATGATGTTGAACAGTTTTTCATGTATTTATTGGCCATTTGTAATTCTTCTTTTGAGAAATGTCTGTTTAGTTCACTTCATTTATTAGTTCAGTTACT